CCATGGAACTCCGAAGAAGTCGAAAACGTGAGTTGGACAAGTTCCTCGGTGTGAACAACACTTGTTTGCTTGATGCCTCTAGTACACCAGGAAAGATGACATATTTAAGATGTCACGCCGCTGAGTGGGGACGTTTAATGCTGCCCTCACCGCGCAAACCGGCACATTAAAACAACAATGCAAGGTCGATAGCATTGTGCGTAGTTTTGGTGTTTGGTAGTTCTCGGCACTGGGAGTCAGGTCTCGGGAATGGCCGGTCGGGCGTCCAGTTCGGCAACCCCGTGGAACCGTCGTACCTCCCGGCTGTCACTGGCAAGCTCCGCGTTCTCCACAGCGGAGTCCTACAACTCATTCCACCTTCTCGCTGAGCACGCGGGCGCGACGTGGCGAGAGCTCTGGCGCACACGCATGCTTCTCATCGACGCGCTCAACTGGGCCCAGTCGGCCGCGGCGGCCGCCCAATCAGCTGATCAGCAGAAGCATCACGTGCTCGCCACCGGTCAGCTGACCTCGATGATGATGGCCTACTTGATGGGGCAGCAGCAGCAGCAGCAGACGGCCGACGCCACGTTGGACCAGGGTGGCGCGAGCGGGCCAGCCAACACGCCGGACTCGGTCATGATGGCCGCGTTGATGGCAGCCACCGCCGCAGCGCAAGCCGCCATGCAACAGGGCCAACAAACCCACCACCACCAGGCAGCGCCGACCCCGGGGAAAGCCGTGCCATGCTTCAACGCGCACTCCTCAGCGGTTACGCCGCCCCTTCTTCACTCCGCTGCCTCGGCGTACCCTGCGTCGGCACCCCCACAAAGCCAGTTTTACCCGCGTTCGCCCCTGGCAGTCGGGTGCCAGCCGGACCTGCTCGTGGATCACCAACGCGTGCGCAATGTGCGCCACGACGTCGTCTGTCACCTGGACGCAGCGCCGTCCTCGTCTGTCGTCGTGTCTCCGCCAAGGTCTCCGTGGGACCTCCACCAGCCCCTTCCTCCGCCAACCATGTGGGGGGGTGCATCTCCCGCCGCCCCACCGGTTATGGGGGCGTACGGCTTTGTGCCGGTGAGTTCGTCAGGGGGTTCACGAGTTCCCTGGTGTGTTTTTACGTAGAGAAACTATCGTCGTCTTCTTGGTTCTTAGCCCCCGCGTCTAATGACCCAGCCTATGGGTGGCTATGAGGCCGTGGCAGCATCGAATCCCAAGGACAACGGTGATGTCAACGGATCGGATGAGTTTGACTCGGAGGACGAGGTCATGTCGACGAGTGGAGAGGAGGTCGAGAACAGGGAACGGAGGAACGGTGGAAGGGTCCACGCAGATGTAGATAACGACGACGACGATGACGACGAGGACTACTGGAACTCCTTTCCGACGCCCGAGGGCCAACCAAGAGACCTGTTCGGCGGAGGAACGTCTGTCGACGCGGACGACGTATCTAGCGTCAGCCAAAGCGCCAGTCAGGTGGTGGTTGTGGTGCATGATGGCGCCAAATCACCGTCGTCGTCGCCGCCACCACCACCGCCAAAGCAGCAGCCCTAATAATTTGTACAGAAAGCATTTTATCAGTGTAGTACCAGCGCCAACCCCCTGTGTCTTTATTAAACCACCCTTTTTCTACTCTCGTGTGCTTGTGGATGTGGTGAAATCGCGCCTGTTCTGATTCAATCAGAAGGAATTGAATTTGCTGACGGTCTTGTCAACTGCAGGGTTTTAAGGAACAATTGAAATAGTTAGCAGTTGTCTTACCTAATTTTCGACAAGATGACATCATGTGATGGACACAAGTAGGGTAATCCGAATTTCTAAGTTAAATTAAATAACCTTGACATTACGCCAGCACGTAACCATGGGAACTGGCAGAACAGCATGACACGGAGAGAGGAATTTGTATTTCGCAGGATTTTGTTTATCACTGTTTGAGTTGGAGGTGAATTCGGTTTTCGTTTGCGAGGCAATAACAAGGCCGGTTTGGACTTATTCGTTTCTGGACTCGCTCTGTCTGTGCGTCAAAACTTCTCTGCCTGGGTGTTTGTGGTCTGTAAGGAGTAGCCAATAGCGAGGACGTTTCCATGGTGATGTGCAGTCCCGCCTGTTCTAATTGAACCCAAAACGTTTGTATCACTTCTGAGAAGAGGTGCGGGAGTGATCTCAAGGGAATCCTTCTGATGGATTAGCCTTCGTTTCCTCCAGAGAAGAAATGACGCTATACACCGACAGACTAAAGGCGTTTTTTACGTAAATATATACTTATTTGTGGGATATTTAAAACAGGACCTCGTTTCAGTGGTGATATTTAGTTCATTAGCTTGTCTGCAATGACGGGAAAATTAAGGGCGGCCAAAACTCAGTTGTGAACACTAAGGTCTGAAGTCAATTAGCCTTTCGAAATGTCTGGCTATTGGGCTAACCAATAAGGAACTGGCGTTTTGGATTTATTCTTTGCACATGGCGTAATTTGCTCTTCGTGTATTGGAAATGTCTGGCGTTAGCCCTCGTGCAAGAATATCACGACCGGTTCTACGTGACTCAAATGCTTCTCGACTGTGTGGTGTCCGAATATGATTGGTTAATTTTCGGTTGGTGCAGGGCCAGGACAAGCACTATTTCCTCCACACTTCCTACCAAGCACAAAATTCGCATGAACAACAAATATTTAACCGTCTTTCAAACTGCATACGCCTTCAACCACGTGAGTATGTTTTGTTCTAGAGATTTGGATAAAACCGGGTTTAAGTCGTGTTTTGATAAACTAAATGCCAATTTAATTAATTAATTTATTACCTACTTCCTTCCTCTGCATTGCTTCCTCGATTACACAATTTATCGTTCTTGAATGTATAAAATTTTATCTGCGAAGCGTGTTACCAGTCATTCCCTACTAGCAGAGAACTGTGACGTGAAAATAATTGTCACACACAAGGTTTAGTTTATGCAAGCCTACTCGTGTTGTAACAAAAAAAATGTGGGTTAATGCAGCACAGGTGCAGTTTTTGTGGTTCTAATCACAACTTTCATTAATTTTGGCGTCCAGATCACGTGCCTGACGGTTAGTCTTTAGCGAACTCCACTGTTTCAATTCTCCTTCACCGTTCAGCATTGAGAAGTAACATGTGGGCTGCTTGAATCGTAAGCACAGAGAGGGTGATGCGTGTCGTTATGTTGCTAGGAATTCAAAAGTTAAACGTCTTGACGGTAATAACAAAAAATTCCCTTTTCCTCTGCTAAATTCGTAGTTTAAGCATCTCGTCGAGTGTCATTCACGAAACGACTTTGTGGCATGGTTTCAGAAGGACGCACTTTAATGGCACAGTTTCGGCCGTTGAATCTTCGTGACATGCCACTGCGAAATTCAGTTATCCCATAAGATTGGTCAGTTTAATCTGTAGCTGGAATGAGATTTTGTTGTGCAAAATTATTCGCTCTGACATCTGAAATTTACACATAATCGTGATGACAACAACCTCCACTGATGTGTGACTTAATTTAATTTTCAGCTCGAATATAAATGCGCAATTAATTGATTGATTAGTTCTGATAAATTGCGTTTTACTGAGTCAACTATAGCGGGAGATTTGAGCGCACAGATTTGCTTATCTCTTACAGATATACGGTTTTGATCGAAATCTGTTTACGCACCAAATTTGATTCTTGACCTACAGGATACATTTGGTTACGCAAAATTAGCAAAGACTAATTGATTCAGTTTTGTAGCCAATTATCGGATCTCGATAACCTTGTTCCCTAGCAGAGCTCAATTTTAATTGGCCATAATCCAAGCGTAGCGCTAATGGGTTGGTTACATGGGTGACCGTATTTCATGTCATTCCCATTGGGCAGGATTCTATACACCGACAAATAATTCTCTCTTACTTACAAAATGCTAGGAATTTTCGGGATTAATCACTTTGGTGTTTTATCATATTAATGGACAAAACTCATGGCAGAAACATCGATTTTCTTAGTCTCCTGTAATCCATTAAACCGCATGTCTGCTGCCTAATGAATGCGTACTGGTGTTTAGTTTCCGGGTGATTGCGAACACAACGCATTTCCTTGAAGACAATCGTATTTTCTAAGATGGCGCTACACTCTTGATCATTTCCCATAATTGACTTTCAAATAAATACAACGTTTTGGATCGTTTCCAAGTGGGAATTGGGTGGTTTCTCCTTAAATTAGGTCGTTAGGCAGTTTTGACATCTTCCACGGAATCATAATATTCGACATTCTAGTCACGTTTCTGCGAACCCAGCAGATGAAAATCCGAGGTTTCAGAGTCAGCAAAATACGGTGCATTTCCGATTACAAGCCTCGAATCTGTTGCAATATCTGTCTAACGACATTTAGTTAAACACAGTCAAGGTTAAACCTGCAGCCTTTTTGATTGGCTAGGGTTGTAAATCACAGTCCACGCTGTTAATGAATGAATTTTTTTTAAATTGAAATTTAAAATCTCGGTCAAATTTATCCTATATCAAATTCTGCTCGTAACCATGTGCTCTAACACGGAATCCATGCATCCCAAACAGAATATCAACTTGTCCAATCAGCTCCCGGGTTAACAATAAATTCAAGGCCATTTTAAACTCGAAAAGGCATCTATTTGGGTGGTATTATAGACAGTAAAATTTTAAACAAAAGATGTCCGTTTGCCTAGAAAAGTGAGCTTTCGCCTCGCTGCTCACCACAACCTTGTTGTGTCCGCGTTAGTATTTGTACCTCCTGTCTTTTCCGTTCTCAACCTCGGCGACTCTATAAAACACCTCCACAGCCTTCGACGGTGATCTCGATGTCCTTGAGGATGTCGACTTTGCCCGTCTGCTTCTCATCTTCCCACCGCCTTCACCACTTCCAGATCTGCCTCTGCTGCGTTTCTCGCCTGCGTCTTGTCTCAAAACTACCGTCAAAATCGGATAGTCACAAGTTCCACGGTCGTTTTCTGAACAGGTTGAACTCCTTCTTGACCTAGAACCGCGTTCCTTAACGCTCTTCTTTGGTTTTTTATGCGTCTTTCGGACAATGCGGAAGTTGTCATCCTCCTCTTCCTTGAATCGGGATTCCTTTGACCTCGATCTCGACTTAGAGCTGCGTTCGCGGACTTGATCACCCAGGAGGTTAATTACTACACGCATTTTCCTTGTCGAGTGTGATCATTCAGGCAAGCCAAAGCATCAACAAGTGATTCGGAAGACGTCTGATTGGCTAGCAGCACACAACTAATAAGAAGCATGATGTGATTGACTGATAGGTTGTTGAGAAAAACGCCTCACCAAGGCATGGGAGAGGTGCACAGCAATTCCACACTCTTGCATATTGAATAGAATTGCGAATTTAGGCCAATTAAATTTCCGAAAAAAACTGGTTTAACAGAGATTAAGCATGAATAGTTAGTGATTATTTTCTGTAAGGAACTCAAAATATTGTAGAATACCTAAGATACAATCCCGCAGAAAGCACAACCTGAGAATCGATAATTCACTTCGATTTTCCGATTACTAAAACCAATTGGCAATGATTTCGCGGTGGTAGTATTTGAGGCTGAATGGCTGGATTTCGATTCAGTCACCGACGTCCATGGAGGTGCCCCCGATTAACCAGTGGGAATTCAGCAAATGAAGCCGGACCAATCATAAGCACCGATGACTGATTAAAAGTGCTTTATCGTGGCGCTTGGACACGCGGTGATCTACTTTTTAATTGGGATTGAAAACATATCCACCATGTGGTTAAAGACCATAGGCAAGAGCCCCGTTGTCGTCGGGGTCACCGAGTGTTGTGGGCCCCAGCATGTGGTCCTGAACCACGCCGGGGCCACGGAATTAACCCAGGCTCGATTACGCTTGCCTGATACCCGCGATGAAGGAAAAGGCCGGAGAGGACGTGGACACAATCGTTCACTTCAGAGCTCAACCACGTTGGTGTCGTGTGTGGGGTTTGTGTGTGTGTACTTGTACCTCGGATGTGTGAGTCATACATGCGCTAACATCGAGATCTTGGTGTGAGGATAATCCAGGATCAATGCTCGTGTGAATGAGGAGGGAGTTGAGGATCCTCGCGGCTGGCGACATGCTGCGAAAAGGGGGACCCTGTGTAGGAGGTGGCGCGACCGGATTAGGAAGTTGAATAAACAGAACTCACGACAGCCCGCATTTTCTGCAAAACTTGTCGGATATCAAGCAGAAATTCATTTAAAAATGTCTCCTAGCGCCGAACCTGCCTACAACTGGTTATGGCATGTAGCAGCAGGGGTGACAGCGGGCTACTTACCTTTTAGTGCGCTCTACCGTGGGAAACATGAGCTGGGATTGCTCAGTCATAAGAAGGAATTTCATTTCAAAATCTACATGTCAAGACACGCTGCCAATAAAAGTGCAAAGGTAGCTTCTAAATATCACCCATGTGATTGTCAGTGTTTTCCCGCACAAGCGTGATCTTGCATAATTTCGGCGTATCGTATCCTATCCCAGGTTGAAATTTAATTAGCAGCAGAAATTTGTTGGCGGCGGGAACTAGCTCATTTTGCAGTTTATTTCCAGTAAACACACATAACTTCTGGCATGGCTTACGGTTTAGTTTACCAAGAGTAGTTATTCTTGACTATCATCCCGAAATATCTCGTCCAAAACGAGTGCTTTGCAACTCTGGCAAGAGACTGTGTGGTTTCGTGTATGCACCAAAGCGCTGTCTCCAAATAGCCTACCTGCAATTCATTTGCTTTATTTAGGAGGCGTACGATCGAGTCAACAAGGCTGTTTTCCTGAGTATATTTTGAGTGACGGCTTCGATGCTCAAAATAAAGATTCTTATTTGTTAAAATATGGCCAGTGAGCTCTTCTATGATACTAGTGCTAAACAGAATTACCTCGATTAATGCCCACTGAATTAGCTATGGCTTACATTCCTGAGCAATGTAGGGTACTGGTGGAAGTCGTACTTTGTAATCAAAAGGACGTACGACAATAAACCCCAATAAGCGCCAAAGACGTTGGATAGCAAGAAGGCATGTATTGAGGTTTTGTCGTATTCCACGCTAAAATTAGGGAAATTGGATGGACAAACTTAATTCTCCAATTAGGGGAAATCCATTAACAAAACCACAATAAAAACCACCATGATGTTTCGCTAACTAAAAATTAATCAAAATATACAACAGTTAAACTAATATTGACAAAATGTCGTATCTAGCAAGGTCATCTATGGTTTCACAAAATAATGTTGTAATAAAGTCCATATTTACAAGTGACTTTGAGTAGCAAATAAATTCATTTAAAACCAGGTTTAGTTTTTGTCAATTTTTTTTATCTTGTGATAATGGGATCATCTTTCCTTAAATAACAAATCCAATTAATACCTAACCTGGTAAGATTATAGCACTTCATGAAAAAGAATTGAGACCGATAGAAAAAACAAAAAAATTAAGTTCAAAAAAACTGTGGAAAAATGAGTGAAGCAGCACAATCAGGTAAAAACATTTTACAATGTTATGTCAGAAATGTTATGCAGAATCCATCATGTGATGTTTTCCGGGATAGACATTTCCACGTAAAAATAAAAAAAATTAAAAAGTTAATGGATGTTTTAAAACCTTTCAGGACTTTCATTTACTCAAATATTTTCAGAGGGTAAATTTACACTCCACTCAGCATCTAGCTACATTAATCAGAAACAATCATTTTGTTTGAAAAATAACACACACAAATCAGTTGTGTCATATCTACTTACACAGTGACTATTTAGAACGGTATTTCGATGACCTAAAATAGAGATTATACATAATTTCCACAAACGACTATGCATATACACACAACTATGATGGAAAAGCTTGCTTGCGTATAATAAAAGGGTTGATCAAGAAATACTGCAAAACGGTAGTTACGTACATTTTATTACATTCAAAAACTACAATGTTTGCCCTGAAAAAGCATAATACTGTGTAGAGCGACGTCCATTGTTATATAGTTATAAACGAAATATCCATTTTAAGCAATCATGTGATGTTAAAACAAGCGAAAAACGTTAATAAAAACAGATACATGGGCCAGTGTGACATATGTATACTTCTTGCTGATCGCATTCATTTTTTGTAGGTTGTGGAGTTATGGTTTTTATTGTTTTGGCTTTCCTTGATTTCTTTTTGTCAGCTTTCCTCGCAGGAGTTGGATTGTCATAGTTTATGTTCACGACAATGTCAGAAGGGGGACAGCAGATTTTAACAGCACAACAACAGCAACAGCAACAACAGCAATTTTCAGATTGAGCATTGCTATTCGCTAATGTACAGCAAATCCTGCAGTTCATATGAAGAGATTTCCAACAGGGTTTTTGTAAGATATCTTCATACAGGACACACAAATCCTGATTGCATTTAATAAAGATAAACACACTAAATTTGAAATAAATTCAACTCCAATTTTTTTGCCTAAAAAGGTACTATAACCTTATAAAACAATTAAATAACAAGAAAATTTGAAAAAATAAAACCTTTAAGTTCAATTTATCGAAGTTGCTAATGAGGTAAAACTACAGCTAATTATATAACAAAGGATGCACTAATAAGATTTTATGCACGATTATAGTCTGCGTAGACTAGATGTACCTAGGAGTATTATGTTTGAGCCTAAAAATGCAATCAGTTTGAAGTGAATATCAAACCTAATTGTTACAAACACGGTGTCTGAATACATAAAACAACATATCCATTTTTAGCCTATGTTAGTTGTAAAATGTTCTATAGTGAAGGGTTATGATTTTGAAGGCTGTCATTTTAAAAAACTACGATGGAGTTTAGAATATGGCGGCATTTGACATCAAAATTGCTGGTGCGTGGATTATAGCATTCAATTGTAATATTATGACAAAATATTCCATTTTTAAGTTTTCAGAATCACAAGGTCTGCCAAATAATTTAAAAGCACTAAACTTTACTTTACTAAAGAATGACTGCTAAGTTAATATTGCTTTAGTGATTAATCATTAGGGAAATAAGCAGACTTGTTTAGAAAGCATAGGAAAAATGCACCTGACAGATTGATAAACAGCTACATTGCAAAACCTAAAAACGACCATGGTTTAATAATGTAATTAGGCCTGGGTCACATGTACAGTAATTAACCAACTTAATAAAACCAAGCTAGCAGAAAATAAGGATGTTGAAATTATAATCTGTCAAACCTAAATAAAATTATGCAAATTCACTGCTTGGATTTGCAAAAAAATAGTGTGAAAAACCTCAATTTGTAAGTGATAAGATACCTACCATGCCATTTGTAAGTAGACACCTCTAATTAAACAGTTGGAAAGTGACTTAAGTGTTCTTTGCATTTTATTTCGCTTAAGTCAGCTGCTGCCATATTGTCTGATCACGTAGGAGTAAATCGTGTCTTTAAATGACGTTAACTACTTGCATCTACTTGATGATTATTATTAATTCAGAATTAATTTTTTTATGTCGCAAATTAGTTTAAATTTTCTAAGTGGAATCAAGGTTGCGTAAAGTGACTCATGCATGCTTTTTGAAAATGTTTTTTGATGGATGGTTAGTTAAGTGATGTCATATCCACAGTGCCTCGAGTACTATGTTTCGGGATGTGAGTGCGAGTATTGTTGTGCCTATCCAAAGCAACGTATTATACATCTTGTAGAGCGTGTTTTTGATGCTCCAAGTGGTATGTGTTTGATCGACGAGACATTTATCAGAGAAGACTTAAGCTCTCCTGCAACATTTGTTGATGCAGTTGAACAGACAGAAACATTGCATACTACAGCAAATTATGATTGTAATTCTGACGAACTGTGGCCTTGTCATTATGGACATTTCTGTGGTTATTGCACGCATTCTAAACCCGGGTCCCACAAACACAGTCATTAGTAAAATGTGAGTGTTTTGAAAATTACATTAATTATTCAGTCGAATGCTTATAATGCTGTTATAAGATGCACTTAGTATTAATTAACTCTGATTTATGATTAAAATCTGAATACACCAAAACCTTTTTCTTTCTCCATTTTTGACTACGTAATCAACATTTTAATATGTCTTTTATCTCTCTCCTCGAACAGTGTTCTGGCTTTTGTTATCTTAATCGTGTTTTCTGTTAGAATAAAAACGTTTGAATCCTTGAGAAATATCTTTCGCTAATCTTTTCAACAATTTAGGTATTTGATCGATTCGTCACTCTTCTCTGAATAAGGAATGTTCACAACAGCATCATTGTCAGCTACCCTAAACCCTATTTTAATGTTTATTTTGGGTGCATTCTAAAATAATTGATTGATGATTTGTTAAAGTCGCGTGTTTTTTCTCAGGTTTGTTTATCCAAGTCTTTCAATGGCCTTCACCTGTTATCGAGATCAATGATGCGGTTAAATTTTCAAAGAGTATTATTTAAGGTCAAGATTTCGCACTTTCTCGTTACCCTTGTGCAGTTTTTGAATTTTAAACGGTTTGCAAAGAGCTCCCAAAGATGTGTATATGGAATGGGCTTAGATCAGGTGGCAACAGTCACATTTCAAAGCAAGATTAAAAATATGTCTATTGCTTCAATCTGGCCATCAAATTAACTTAAGGTTAGCTAAAATAACAATATTGCTATTAAAATTAAGTAAAACCATTTACAGGATGAAAGAAACGAATTGTTTGCGATAGATTATATTTACGTGGGATGGAATAATGTTGGTTAGGAGCTAGCCTTTGATCAAACAAGAAGTCACTCCGTTGTGGATTCACAGCCGTGATTCTATTCGCTCTTTATTTCTAAGGTTATTTTAGACACAAAACGCCAAGTCTTGTTTTTGCAAATTTAAGGAGTTACAGACAAGATCTAACTTGAATTAGCAATGAGCATTGAGGCTGTTTTACCTAAGTAAACTTTAAACAAAGTCGGTTTATTAACACCATAATAGAAACTGTTTAATTATTAATTTGACGGGCAGTGTCGTAAAAGTAGCGAACCAAAGCTAAGTTTTTTCAGTGAGCACTAAAGATGTATTCTGCAATTGCGTATGGATACTTTTAATTTTATTGAGATCTAACGCCACAAAAAGTGGGAAGTCTCACAAAGATTAGGTTGACTTCATCATTTACGCAGTGAACCGATTTTACACACATGAGTAAATCACATCTGCGGTTTTGAAAAATGGCGCTATTAGCAGAAATTATTAATTGATCAACCGCCTCTTTTAAACAGACTAGATTTTAGTGCGCAATATTCAGTTCGATCTTTTCTTCACCAAGCAAACAACGAGTAATTGAGGCGCTTTTGCATTGTCACAACTAAGTTTTGTCGTAAACATCAACTGGTGAGCGGCATCCAATCCGTTTTAGAGATTGTTATTGTCTCTGTGGCAGAAGCAAATGTCTATCATGTAGCACGGGATGTCGATGCGTTGGGTTTCACAACGTACCTGAATGTATTTGTGGAATTTCAAGAATGATTAGCAAAACGCAACTGCTGACTGCCAATAAAGTGCCTTTCTGATATTTCTTTGCCATATTTACGGTCCAAAATACAAAAACGAGCACTGAAGTTACTTAAAGCACGGGAACTTTGAAGTTGTTAATTGATCCCACAAGTTACTTGGCGGATCCTAACATCTCCACAGCTTTCTCAACTAACTCAACAGCTGACACACTTACAACTTCATGCAAAGCGTGTGAATCTGCGCACTCTAAAGAAACAATAGCATATCACCTTTTTTTATTGCTGCATTTCTGACTAATCAAATTGAGAAGTGGCTATTAAACTGCCTTGTGTGCTTATCCCACGCTGATTTTATATGAAAACCACACTCAGATGCGTAGGGATGTTGCGTCACATTTTCAAATCCATTACGAGGATGTGAAGCCCTATTTCCCAAAATTGGCTGAGTTAATGGCTCCGACACCAACTATTGATTACGTTTGAGTTTTCTCACTGGTTGAAAAATCGATAATTTTGCTGCGCGTGGCTTCAACCAATCAGTTAAAGAAACTAATCAGCCGTCACACTCAGCAATTTAACTGAGGTAGAACTGTGTCTTCACTTGTACATTTTGCCAAATTTCTAACAAATGGAATTTCTGAACATCTATGAGATTTCGAAATATTGTGCGTGCAATTCAAGGATCTGTCCTTCCATATTTTGCTTACAAAATCACGTGTACTCATGAGTGACCTCGCCTAGAGAATAGCCAATCACAATCACCTAGCCAGTTGGTTTTTGATGAAGGCAGTTATCGTCCAATTTCCCACGTGTAAGTTAACTGTATTATTGGCTAAATATACAAACCCATATGCACACTTTCCTGTTATCGATTTCTTAACGGACTATGTCGAAACGTGAGAGTTGAACAATTCAAAAAATTTGGTTGGAAGGAAAGAGTTAAAAGGCGTCAGAAAGGATGAGAGTTTAATCTCATTTCTTCAGTTTTTGTCGGTCGTTAACACAAGACGTCGTGACATTTCACAAATCAGCTACTTCAAGCGTATAAAAGTGTCTATTTACAAATCCGGACGAAGTAATTCGGTTAAACAAATACAATTTTTTTGGTGTCATGGTGATAAGCACAGCTGCTGCCTAAAGGAAGTCACAAAATCAAAAATGAATTTTGGATATTGTAGCTCACAGCGTCAAACGTTTAATTTCATTTAACAAATGGTTTGTAGCTTAAATATTATGTCCAGTTTTGGAGAACACCCTAGCCCAAGTATGAAGAAGACTAGTACAACAGAACAGGCTTTATTGACCAATCACAAGCCAATACCAAGCGTCAGAAGACGTCCATCCGAGTCCCCCATCCGCTCATTAAATACTGCTTCTCATGCGTGTCAGTCTCTGGTTGGCTGCCTATCTTCCTTGCGTGCCATTGAATAGCAGAGAGCCAGAGGATTGGCTGAGGCCAGCGCTGACCAATATGTCTGCGCCTCTATGCGTCGTTACAGTGTGACATGGTGGTAGACATACATGTGTGTATCAACTACCATGGGAAATTTCGAATCATAATTTTACACATTTAGGAAGCAATGACGGTAATAGCATAATCGTGGACGTTAACCAACTCTTCTATCATGCAGAATGGTTTAATTTGTCTCAGCACCGTAGCATGTTCCAAATACTTCCTTAGTTGACCACCATTTTCAAAGATTACAAACAGCAATGGATGACTTCCATACCTTGTTGTTGGCCAATCAGTGTGCAGCACCCTGCACCCGCCAAATTAGACTGAACTCGAGCACGCCAATTAGACGCAGAAAAAAACGGTAACTCGGGTTAAATCAATAAAATGATTGAAAATGGGATCGAAATTGGTGTCGGGTCAACTCACGCTTCTTAAATGAGTTCCAAATATTTTACATGAGTAAAATTTCGAAGACGGGGCAAAATCAATATATTCGAGTTAAAGAGCCTTTAAAATGTCACTTTAAATGGCACAGGGTGCGCTTTGATTAAATTCATCCTGAAGAATTTTACGTGGTCCCATTTTACGCCATTAAGTTTACTTCGCTGAATGAACGAAGATTGGGGGTCGCGGAAATCCTAGCTACTTATTTTTTATGAGTAATATTATTTTACCTGATAATAAAGATGCATTGTGGAATTTAACGAATACAGGGATTCAAATTTTCCCTGAGCATTTATGAACCGCATCGCCCATAACTTGTCATAGTAAGTACAGGTGCAAGTTGAATTTGAAGAAAAAACAGGTATCAGCGAACAAGCGTTTTCAGGAAAACTTTTGTTTCGAAAACGAACAAGGGTGACGGAAAATGATTTCTTTTGTCTATGGTCACTGAAAATGCTCAAATTATTACCCAACATTGCTTGAAATGCAACACTTAATCAATAATCCGTGTTTGCCATGGCCACTTCCATTTAATTGTGAAAACAGCTAAGCATGGACACGAACTGATTTAGAAAATAATAAATTCCAGTAATTTCGTACAGGAATTTCCAGAAACTAATGACAATTAAATGAACTTCACTCATTCCAGCCTATCTAGATGAACATTTGAAATGAGCTTCTGCCTTAGCTGACTGTCGACTCAGCGTCTTACGGCCATGCAAATGCTTTACATGCATGAAATCTCACGGGCGCTAATCAGTAACTGTTGCCATTAAAACCGTTGTACTTAAATGTAATCAGTAGCAAGGTAAATAATGCATGCAAACTCCGGTTCGATGCCAGTCAGTGTCATTTAATTGCGTGGATCTATCCTTCCGTCAACACGCTACAATTCTGTTAAACGCTATGGACTTTTCAAAGCCTCATTCTAGGGTTATGTGAAAATCACTTGACCCTACAAATCACGTGAACCACATGAAATCGCGATTTACACCCACATGGATCCCGCCAACCACGCATGACAACTGAGGTGTTGTCGGGTTAGACCTAATACCAGGAAACCAAACAATTATTTCAGATGTTGATGCGCAAAATGTATGCTAAATTGTGTTCCACCACGATAATACATGCGTCTAGTAACCTGTGAATCAGGCAACCACAACTCAGTGAATGTGAAGTAGAAAATGGCATTAACGAGTTTCTCGATTAAAAAAGGCACAAGCATTTCAAAACTGTACGGAAGATGTTTTTTAAAAAACCAATGCTCCATCTGCATGATCATTGTCTTTTTGAGACTAGGCGTTCAGACTTCGCTGTCCGAGTTGCCATCGTGTCGATGGTAGTGGGGCAGGGTCGAGCTTCCAGAAGTGGAACAACTGTCGAATCCTCCGGAACCCTCAACGCGATGGTACTTCTTCATGACAAGCGGGTTCACGTATATGAACCTACGAATTCGACAAACACTCAAAATTTAGTTGTCGCCGACAGAGTGATATATTGAATTACGCGCTCGAAATCTTATTGGTGGGTTAAAAAATAAACGCACATAGATCTCTATTTCGATTCCATGTGCATTTTCACAAAACAAAACTTTGTAGTTGTCTCAAATGTTTCGTGAATGCCAAATTTAGTTTTGAAAACCAATGTAAAGGGGTACTTTAGATGCCGTTCATTGGAGCTAACGTGATTGGTCGAAAAGGGCGTCTTCTATTGGCCAGCTCAAGGTCAATCAACAAATATGATTTTTAATCAGCATGCAGCCAGTAACTCAAGTACAGAGCATAAACTTGATCCAAGGCCTTACCTTCCCCCGCCAGTGGCATGATCGCCTGCTGCTTGAGATCGAGGGTTGTACACTTGACGACTCATCACCTGTGGCCTCAAATCCGATGCTGTCGAGGTATCGATCGGAGAAGAAGACGATTGCGTGGACGTCGAGGACCAATGGGGTGCGGACGGGGACTTGTAGACCAAGGAAGGGGGTCTGTGGATCGACGATGGTGTTGCTCGGCGCGGTGAAGATCTAGTTCGCACTATCGGGACCCTGGTACGTTCAGGTGACTCCATCAAAACCGGCGTGGAAACGCGAATTCGGGAGTCCTGGGGGTATTCCACGTAGAAGGGTTCTGTCGACGTCAACTGAAGACCATACAGTCTAGGTTCCCCTTTCCGCGTGGGTGATCTCCCATCTCTTAATTATAAATTCCGAGTTTCTTTAGTGTTTCAACTGTGGCAAATTGATTTTTTATTGACTAGCATTCAATAAACGTTTTTTTGACATTAAAAAATGTGATTATTTTGCTAAATTAAGTCTGTTTCTACGGTAACACCTTTGGTGTCGAAGGCGTGGACAGTGAGAACGACCAATGATGCGTTGACCTTGAGTGAAGATTGGACCACAGTGTGTTGACCAATGACTGTGACTGAAGTAACTACGATTAAACGCAGGTTAAAGCTATGGTAAATGGAAAACATCACTTTGACCCACCAACTATTCACCTCAAAACGCTACATTTAAGGCACAACAATATAAAGTAGCCAATCTCCGTTCTGAGTTACATCTTGGTCAATGTACCAGATACAGCCCTAATAACAACCAATGGCGAGATGACCTTGGCTGAAAACTGGCCTTCAGACTCTTGACCAATGGCGTTAATTGAAGCCATTTTCAGAACTAAATCGTGGACGTGAATAATCAAGCCTCTGCCTTTTGTGCCGAGTGGAATCAATGAAACTTAAAATTATGGGAGCCGCCTTGCAATACTCATTGACCAATAATAAATCAAAGGTTAAAAAGAAATCATTGGTTCCATTTAGCATTTTTTTAAAAAAATGTGCATCTTTTCTCTTTACTGAAGCACCTGTGAGATATCTCATGAAATAATCAATAATATTACGCCTGAATTACTTAATCAATAAAGCGATCTTACCTTGACCTGTATTGTCGCGTACCGCGGACGTCTCGTGAGCTGATTGGGCCATTTACAGCTGCACTTCGGCTCCGATGACTCGAACTCGTTTTCATTGGTTGAACGCCTTTCATTTTTATGTAAATCTTGGCCACACCGGACTCGCAGTTCTGCCCGCAGTCACCATAGCCTTCAATGGGGAGGGATTGAAACGGGGCGTGTGAGACATCTTTGAAATGTGCGCCATTCAGCACTTTGTTTTACTGCTCTTTTTCGTGCGCTTGGCGCGATTTTAAACTTGCTAACCAATTGGACAAAGCACTGGGCCATCATGTCTGTATTTCCTTGTGTATTTCCAATTTAATGTGCGCCATTTATGGCCGTCCAACGACTTATAAAAGAAAAGCGTTGTTGGCTTATCGTTCGTGAATTGATTTAAAAAAATGGAATGAGTTCTTTCCCACAACCTCCTGTGTTACAAAAAGATGCCGCTTAAGTGACCAGATCGGTCTGAAAATCGTTATTTCTTAAAATTTGCTTGATTGTAGAAAAATAGGTTTTAAATAAAAGCAGTTAAGACAAAGATGTCATAATTTTGGACCGAAATGACTTACTTCCGTTTGATTCGAAACGAGGATCCACAAATTCAGCGAACCGCATGTTTGAGTGCATTGGCAGATTGACAAAACTTAATTTATTCACTTAAAAAACGCCATTAACCAATAAAATGACAGCATGTGTGGTGTTGACAGCAGCAAGGGGATTTCGTGTAAGCTGCGTGTGTGTGTGTGTGTGAGCAATGCTGCCGTGGGTGAAATTGCAAGCCTGCTCATATTGTCAGTAAAGCATCAAATTTGTTCTCTGCGATTATCAAATTAAACAGAATCACACAGGTGATTTTCATTTTGAACACCCAAGCACACACACCAACTAAGAGCTAGCATTTTCACCAGAATGTATCTTAAGACAATGGCTACGCCTATTCTAGTTCTTGGGTGTCTAAGACGCACAAAAAATAATCTTGTACAACCCAGGTTGTTCTAGGGCGGCTGTGTCCGCTAACGACGAGGTAAGCCAGTGTAAATACTCAAAAAATCAATGAATCAAATTTATGCTTATAATATTTCTTGCCAATTTATTAAGTTCGTGCGATGTTTGAACACCGATTGCCAATAGGAGCAAATGACCATGGAAATCGATTGATTGCCTAAGCAGATAGTCCAAAATTTCCAGTGTGAGAATCGATCTTCAAATAGCCATCAACTTTTCGAAAAAGTATTGTAAAATCTAATGCAACCTACTGTAACGTTTCTAGCGGTTTTGAGGCCGTGAATTGTAAGTTGAAGTCTCCCGTAATTGGTGAATTCAGTTTAAAACTGGTATTTCCATGTTGTTGTTTGTCGAAAATCGGAGGTCAAATGTCTACAACTTGCATCAACAATAGACCATTTCGGAGGATGAAAACAATTTACTAGAATGACGTTTTATTGACCAAAACATCACTGAAACCCGATTAGACCCACTTCCACGGAAAACAACACGTAACAACCAGTTTGCAATTGGTTCGAGAGCCATATAGTTGTTTTTCTGGCAAGTAGGGCTAACCATGATGTTGGAACTTTAAAATTAAGAACACATTAATTGAACACCCAACAGAACTGTTTTGTAAGTTTATTGCGGAACTAAAAATTTCCAGACCCCTTCTATTTAACGTGGTTTCAAATATCCACTCTTTTTTTTTAGAAAAAATCGTCAAAATTGATAATTTTACCACCATTTTTTTTAATTTTCAAATTTTCGGTATCCGAAAGTGATTGATCAATACTTTGGGCAAGTAAAATTTAATGGCTACAAATGGCAACAACATATGACTTAAATCTATATGGGAAACACATTTATATCTAAAGTTTTATTTATGCCAAGCTGATGCCACAAGGAAATATTTGAGGTAGATTAGGCTGCCAGCAGTTCACTGTTTTTGCCAGTTTGTTTAAAGGGACAATTGAAGTATATCCTAAATGAAGTACAGATTTTCAAATAAACCTTTCAATGGGGCCTCATGAAAAATGTAGGCGAGTTAAATTAGGTTTTACTACATTCGGGAGATCAGTATCCAAGGCTTGGCACCTGTTGCCACTGCTTACTGAAAGCCAGTACGAGTCGTAAGCGATTCTTGATATTTGGTCTATTAAAACTTTCTGCAAATATTTGGCATAAACTGTAGTCCTCCGGATTTGAAAAAGGTGGTGTGCATGCGACATAAGTTAGGCAATTCGAATGGCAATGTGATTTTTAGCAAATCTGAACCCTCAATCTATTGATGCACTTAGTGGAGGTCATTTGGTACTTCATATTTGCGCCTAATTACCATGAACCGCTATGACTATGCGGGTTAAGGATTTAAAATCTCCTGCATAGAAAAAATATGGAAGAATTAATCAAGGAGAGCAAATTCCTGCGCAATCATGAATGATAATTTGCATTGCTTCTATTACTTTTTGTACTATAGGCGCACGGTTCTGTGTTACCTATATTTTTTCTTCAGTATGTTGACAAAAGTGGCGGCATGTCTGCATTCCGGTAAATGCTCCTCATTAACCTGTTAAATTCATCATAGGATAACTCGTAAACAAAGTCTATTTTGATAAATCCAATTTATTGATATTTAAATCAATAGACGCAGGCTGGCACATCAGGTAGCTAACATGTTTTCCTTAATGCGACAGTTAGTCAATAAGTTTATTAATAGAAAGGAGAAAATTTCTTCACAGCATATTTTTTAACATTTTGCTTTTAACTTCAGGGTAATCATCATTGTTTTGCAGATTATACGCAGTCTTCACTAAACACTTTCTTCGAATGTCACTTTTTTAATGAAAGATTGCTCGTAAAATGCTGAAAACAATACCATTTCGTTAAAAGTATTTTTAATATTTCCCACATTGCATTGTTTCACTTTATCAACGCTTGACACTTTAATAGAATTGTTTTACAAAACCAAGAACGCCACGCATATTTTGATTTTGCTTTGCACTATTTTTGTGCCTCAAATCTACTACACTTTAATGTGGACCTATCAGAGTTAATAAGGTTGAAGATGCAGCGAACGATATTTGCATCTGGTAGGTACGTCAAATTTGGTGTGAGACAGTCTTTTTATGCTTATTCAGGCTCTCTATTTTGGGATGTTATCAACATGGATAATGCCCCGATGGTTGCGTACCATGCAGGTAAGTATTTTTGTCTTACATATTTTATTGCGCAAAATAAACGATATCGTAGCATTTAAAAATGTGTGAATTAATGTCGTTTTAGTTTCACAAATAATCCTGGACTTTCTCCTATAATGCATGAAATTAATTAATTGTGAGATTATTTTCATAGGAAATTCTATTATGTTTTTATGTATATTATGCTGTTAGTTTTTTTAATATTTCGCCGCCGTATGATTTTGACGACAAATGACAAAACAAACGTTAAACTAAAGTAAAATCGACAGTGGTGTATTTCGACTCACAAATGTAATTTGATCCCTGCGAACTTCTCAAATAAAAGAATTTGAAAGCGATGTTTGTGACTAGTCATGTATTTCTGAACAAGTCCTTCAACAGCCCCTGATGCTCTTACCGTTTCCAATTTATACCCTAATTTTTTACGACCTTTACATTTCTTAAAGTTCATTTAACACTGCTTTCCTAACGTTTTTACTTTTTGGTTTTATGTTTTCTGGAAAGCTGTAAAAGTTAGATTCTTTTCGACAAATATCTGTGATTGCTGAGTTTCCGTGTGGACGTAGGTCCAGTAACCGTTTGTCAAGTAAATGGCTAACTCCTTCTAATCTATGATTTCGAAGCGTGTCATTATAAGGCATTGTTATCTCGTCATGTAGCCTGTTATTTTTCATTCATTATCATGTCGTATTTGTTCTTATTTTTTCATATGCAGGGGCCATTGTAGGAGATTACCTATACATTCATGGCGGAATTTCAAATACAGCTGAAAAGTCGCAAAACTGCACAAATTCACTCTTCAAGGTACAAGTTTTCCCTTCTCTGGAGGAGTGGACGGATATCACCACTGCTGATTCGCCTTTTCTGAGCCAACATCAATGCCTCCCTCATCGTCCAAGTGGTCGCCTCTGTTTTATTGATGAGTGGCTCATAAGAGTAGTAAAGGTCATATCTAACCTTTATATTTAGTTTCAAATTGAACCATAGTTATGCCTTTCGCTTACTAATTTGGCATGGCGTTTTGATATACGCCCACGCTACTTTATACCTTTCAGTAGGAGTTTTATTGTTAATTAGGGGGTTGGAACATGAAGGCCAGAACACCTGCGGTGCATGTCTACGATACCAACACTGGCCGGTGGCTACCCCCTGCCGTGGAGGAGCCCTTTTTAAAAGGTTTTCCTCCTGGAGCTGGTCTCTCTGGGCACTCCGTGGTTCCCTTGGTAACTCAAGGTAACACGCCTGCCGCTCTGGTTATTGGCCGAGAAGGCTCGCTGCGTATGCAACGTCGACATGGAAACGCATATATTCTTCGTGGTAGGGATTGTCAAGTTTGTCTAAAATATATTTAAACTAAAATCACTAATAAATAAACTGAATAAGCTTATTTTGCAATAAACATGACCGTGATAATAAAAATTTAATGGGAATAACGTTCCACATCTGTTGTAGGACATTTTGAGCGACGGAAAGACAAAGCCAGAGGCGACCTTGACTCCAGCCAATCGTATTTCACCTACTCGGAATTACCCTCCGTCACCCAATCACGAAGCCACCACACGACCACACCAATGAGCAAGCACCTAGCCGTGACCTTCGGTGGTCGGTCGACGGGGCTGGTGGAGACAATGACATTACCTGAGGACACAAGTCTTGACTGCAAGTCGTTTCGATGCAAAGCTGTTGCACAGTTTCTGCAGCACTTTACACCCACCGAAAACACGTCGATTCTTGAGGCTAAAGCCAATCAGATGTACGTGGAAAATTCAAATTTAAGCATAATGAAGACGTCAACCAATCGGATTATTCTAAACACTATCCACTAGTCTTTTTACTTAAAGGTGTACAACAGCATTTAACCCCGATAATCGAGCATTCTCCACACCGACCTACTCGCATTGTACATGACGCCGACATGTTGAATTTCCTATTGGATGGCGATATGGAAACCGCGTCTCTATCGTTGTAGTACTCTATTAGTCATTATCTCACCTCTAGTTTGGACTACGGCCTGATAATAAATCACACTTGCTTGTCTTGTCTTCATGCATTCACATGTACAGTATTGTTTCTACAAAGGCTTTAAATGCTAATTTTCCCAATAATGTCTACTCAAAAGAAAAAAGTAGTGGATATTGTTTACTTAAGTGTTGTCCGCATTTATGTTGCAGTGGACTGCGTGGTCACTACGCTGTTTCCGGTGGTGATGCCATCCTAATTGGGGGCGGTGAGAGCTTCGACGCCCTAAAGAGGAACCCCAACAGTGACGCCTTCATCTACAAATTGAACTCGAAAAATCCTCTCCACTTGTACGTTAAACTGTGCTATCAAGCCACTAAATTTACACTACTGAGCTTATTTAAGTACTATAATGCAATGATTGTTAAAATCCGCGACTAAGCTGCACTGCAGCACTTTTTGCAGGGAGTCAACGAGTATCTGAAGTGCAATTTCTACGATAGCAGAGATACCAACCAGTGCTTCTGAATGTACTGACGATACACTTGTTACTAAGTACTTGTAAGTAGATATTGTAACTTTTGCTTAATTTTAGTGTCGGTGACTTGGCAGAAAAACGCTGCTACGCAGTGTGCACGGTGAATCCCACTGACGGAACCGCCTGGTTACATGGCGGCCTTGGACGGAGCAGGAAACCGCTTCGTTCGATGGCTCGACTGGTCTTTTCGGCAGACCCTAGAAATCAAGAAACCATCCAGGACGATTGACATGTTTCTTGTACATGTGCAACTGAAAAATTTAGAGTGGTTCTCTGTTGTGGCCACGACCTACTCAGCAACAACTAAGACAATATTACGTGACTGGAAATCCACTTGTCTGTTTGTTGCAATTGTTTCATTTCCCGGGATTTTCAGGGCATTTTTTCTACGTCCTGAGTAAAACAAACACTAATTTATGTTTAGAAATAAAACCTCATTGAATAGTGATTTCCCTTTGTCGCCACAGCCTCAACAAGGAGGGAGCTACCCCCAGTGTCAATAGCTGATTGGTTAATTTTGGAGGATTTGATTGGTCGTCTTCCGATTCCAAAATATGTGGCCCTCAGAGATTATTTGTTGGGTTTGAGAAGGAAAATTTAGGCACAAAAATGGTAGATTTGGCCGCATTTCGCCATCTTTGTGGTCGAAGACAAATTCGATGTCCTACGTGAACTTCAAATATCTCGTTTGTGGGCTCGTATATGCATATTCTGAAGGTGTGATATCATTCAGAGAAAGATTTTGGTATCTGAAAGTGTGGCGCGCCAAATATAATTCTCATCGATTAACGTTAGATGCAAATGGCGTAAATGACTCAGTCCATAGTGGCGCAAGCCAATAAGATTGCGGCGGTCAATCTGAATGTAGGAAATGGTGTGTATGAACAAATACGACTATGCGAGAGGCATAGATTCTTGGGAGATCTGACACTCTCCACTATGGTCCCGCGTTTCTGGCTCAGATTCACAAAAACAGCGTCAAAAAATTTGGTAAGCAACTTCCATAGCGTCCCACTTGTCATCAAATTTACCATCTTGACAACGTATCACAAGGTAACAAGATCAGGGAGTAAAAATAAACAGCTTCCAATGGCGAAATCGTTACGTTTAGTTGAGTTTAAAATGTTTGTGTGACTTCTCGGGTTAAATCTCTCAATTCACCAACAACTGCTTTCCGCGACAAATGTGCGTCTGTCCTGGATACGACATGATTTCAACTGTGTGTAGGGGCCTAAATTAGCACAACCACAAAACCCTATCGATAACAGCCGGTCATAACCCAATAAGAGAGAAGACAGAGTCGAAAGAGACCGCGACCGTTTATCCGCGTCACGCCAGTCAAGTTGAGTGGCGTAATATCGAGTAAATAACTTCTGTGTGCGTATCGATACGCGTGCGTTACAGGCCACTGCTAACAAAATATCAATAACAAAGAGGGTGAGTCATTGGTACAGTCGGGCCAGCATGCACGCATCACTCACGCGCGGTGGCTGTCTGTCCACGAAAAAATCGATTGATTTGAGTTTGGTCCCACTTGCAAACTGCGTTCGCTCACGAAGGTTAAGTGTGCTGGCTTGCTGGTGGCTACAAGTGATATTTGGAGCAACAAGGAGCAAAAATTTCCGGTTTTTGTTTCTGCACCACGGCCGGCTCATTTAAAGCTAGACCTGTTTTTCTTGGGTGCTCTGTTTAGTCAATTAACCGGGTTCTGGGTTAGTGCAGTAGTGTAGCTCACTTACTAAGTCGATAATGACGAATAAAATCACGTTTAGTCTAGTCATGTCTGCAGTTTCAGCTCCTTGTATCAATTCAATGTCACAATAGCAACATCGATTTAGTTGCTCCAGTGTTAGGCCCTCGGCAGCCGGTTTCTTAGCCCGCTAGGTATGTGTCATTGTGGGCCTATTTAGGGAGCACGCGATGATTGGCTGAAACTGGAGCCAATGATGCGTAAGCGCAAGTAACAAAGTAGCACTACGTTTGGTCATGAATGAACATGATGATAATCCTGCCAAAACACCAAATTAATCACTAGTTTACTCACAAATTTATTCCTAAAGTTTGAGATAGACCCAAAAGGAAGGCGTGTATGTGAAAGGTTGTTTAAACACCTGATTTGCCTCTGTTCCTCATTCCTGTCTTTCATTGGTCCATATTCGCAAGTACAGGAAACCATTACTTTGTTTCAAATTTGCGTGAATAAAGTGCATTGTGACAGTGGATTAAAAAGATTTCAAAAAGACGTTTTCAATTCTTTCCTCTACATTTTTGTTTAACTACGTCGAATTACCTTGACCACGCCTACGTAACTCCTCAGAAAGTGATGGGGGAAAGTCGGAACCTGCACCGTTGTGATTTTTGTTTAAATGAATCCCAACTCCTTAAAAATCAACCAAACAAGAAGTCAAGGCAACAAGCAGGTAAATATGACAAAGACATTGGTAGAATTACAAAAGTTAAATTGCGCGTATTCACCACAGCTAACGTCCGGGATCGTGTTAATGTCCGCGTTCTTTGGCCGGTAGATCAAATGCGTTTTGTGTTGACTTTGTGCTGTTCTCTAGCTTGATCCTGCGGCAATTTGGTAGGAAAATACAAGACGAAATTTACGCCTTATCCCGGCAAAATTCGCTGCAACTACTCACTCAAGTTGACGCAGAGTAAATACCATTCGCCGTGTCATGGCGACAGCTTGTTCGCGATTTTGTCGGTAGGGCGAATCGTATGATGGTGGTTCGTTTCACCCTGAAGTTCCCTCCAAGTAGTCGTCTGAATCGTGGCCAGCACGCCACGTAGATGTAGAAGTCAGCAGTGGAGATCAGTAGACGGGAGATGTGAGCAAGGGACTTGGTCCCATTCATCACCACGGCAACCACCCAGTAGCTATTATCGCGATGTTCATGCCACCTCGTGAGTGTTAGAAGGGAGTACGGCAACGCTGGAAGCATGAGGATGGTGTACACGACACGCACCACCTTCATCGATCTGTTGATCCTCATGGTGGTCCGTTTGTATATCTCGTAATTCCTCTTTGAAGGGGTGTTTGGGAGGGTCCACGTATTGCCTCGCCATTGGCTAGTTTTCATGCTGGTCACGTTTACTGAAGAGGACATGAGGTGGAGCAGGGTGAGTGGGAGTACTGTCTGAAAGATAATGTCTAAGAGAGCGTTGACTCGATGCACTAACGACGTCCCCATCCACCGAGCATCGAGGTCAAGCAGTGTATTCACGAATAGGGGACTTCGAACAGTCAATGCGAGGGCCGCACTGACAGCTAGAAGGACGTTCACCATGGCAAGAGTCCATCTTGATCGAAAGAGGAGGGGCCAACACACCAAGAGGTATCGCTCGAGTCCAATCAATACGGCCACCCACGTTCGGTATAACTGGAAACAGCCAATCACCTGATAGAACGTCTCCAGAACAACTGAGCTGAACAGTTGCCATGGCAGCGAAATCTCAAAAATGGCGGATTTGCATTCAAGACTAACCAATAAGCACGTGAAGACGATGAGCATGTCAATAAGGCTTTCCGTGATCACGAGGCGTTGAGTTGTGTGGCGTGTAAATCGATAACACAGCAAGACGTAGAGGCAGATGAGGTTGTTGAAGATGCCCACGAAGCCGATCGGCAATTCGATTGCTACCACTGTGTTCAAGATGGCGGCGTGTTTGTTTGTTTTCAGGTACTCCTGATACCCCATGGTGGTTTTGTTTTGGCATGAGTGGCAATTGGTAAAGCAGACCACTCGGCAGTTAGCGCAAACACGGGACATTTAGCTGTTCACAGTGTTGGGCAATTTAAACGTGCTAGTCTGAATAAATCCTGAGATGAAATCTTCCTATTGGTCGAGAAGATAGCTGTATCCGCCTGAACCAATAATTAATCAGAAAAGCAACATCCCTTCCCTTGCTATGAAGCTTGTACATTTGAAATGTTACAGTGGAAAAGGAGAGTTAATGACACCTTCATATTACTGTAACTAATTGTTCCTACTTTAAAAATATTCTTTTTTTTCTTTTAACAAAAACAACGAAAAGGGGTTGAACATAACTAGTTATTCCGCAATTTTGAATGCGTTAATTGATTATTATCTAACAGATCAAAATGCTTCGTGGATTTTGTATCACTTAAGCAGATCAGCGTGCAGGTGCTAGGTTTGTACAAATCAGTATTATTGGTAGGCTGAGTGACCAATCAGAAGAAGCGGTTTATTCAGCCGTTTTGTCAACCCAAGTACAAAAATCAATAATCGTACCTGAGTGCAAATGAGTTGTAATCAGTGAACCGTGTTCGTGAGCTGATTGATTATTGATCACCAAAACGAGCACATGGTCGTGAATACACGGCGTGAAAATTCGATTGCAAAAGGGGTTAAAAGTGCCTGAATCAAGGACGAACAAGGAAAGCAACTGACGTTCACAAATGTTTCGTTGTAGTGGAACATGCCCTATTTGTAATGGGGTGCATTAATTCGGGTCGATTTATCGATTGGGCATAGTTAATCGGATCTAAAAAAGAGAATGCTAAAAAGTGAAAACACGCGAAATTTTCCAAAAGTGTCATGAAGTGGCGGTGATTGTGAAAAAATGGGTGTTCTACGGCGGATTGCCTGTTAGCAAGGTGTTTAAGCAATAAGTTGAGAGTCAGATAAGCGTTTTGAGGTAGAATCCACGACAATCGAAGGCATGAATATACGTATTTGACGTGGCAACACCATTCCAGTCACGGCGTTTGGAGGAATGAGCCAATCAAATGAGAGCGGTCAATTTGAAATCGAAAGTGGTGTACATGTGGATAGAAAGCGGATTTTAGACGTAAACACATTAACTTCACGAAGTTTATACTCCTCTATCATCGACCCTTCGGCACAAACTTCAAACCGTTGAATTAATTTCAATATTCCAGTTACTCTACTGGTTGGTTTACCGCAATCATGCCCACTTAACACATCTTCTTGTTGGTTTGGTCCTCTTTAGGAGTTGGGTTTAGTTCGCAAACCCGCAGCCTTGAAATTCACCGTCTGCGATGAATGCGGACAAGGGGTGCTCTACCTGGAAGTGACAACTGCCGAATTACGCTAATCGGGACATTATCAAAATGCAATTCCACTTACGGTAATTCAAAAAACACACCAATTTACGGCTTTGTGTGATCCAACATGCCTGTTTTTTAACCAACGTCCTTAGCAATGACGTGCGACTAAGCCATGTGACTTCACCGAAACACTGAAACCTTCGC